ATATGGATTAACCCCTTTAAATTGCTATTTTCTGAAGAAAACGGAAACAATTAAGGTCCCAAACCTATTTAATTTTGATACTATATCGGTGTATGATGCAGCTATGCATTAAAACAAAAATTCTATTTTTTATAATTTTTCTTGAAATATGTGGGTTAACCCTTAGAAAAAAACAGAATTTTCCAATAAATATTATTTAGCATCTTCCGTGTTGTTTAAAAATACAAAACCACACTCCGAATTCATAAATATATTTTCTAAATGTATATTCACGGTACATGGGCCAGCATTTATAATTTTCCAATTATTACTTTATTTATCATTCACATACCACTTAATATATTTGAATAGCCCCTATTAAAACTCTATTTTATGAGGAAACATAAATATTTAAAATAGCAAACCTATTTAATCGTCATTCTCTGTTGGTGTATGAGGCATCTATGCATTAAAACAAAAATATTATATTTTATAATTAGTTTTAAAATATGTAGTTTAACCCCTATGAAAAAACTGAATTTTCCAATAAATACTATTTAGCATCTTCCGTGTTGTTTAAAAATACAAAAACACACTCCAATTTCATAAATATATTTTCTAAACTTTTATTCATGGTACATGGGCAGACTATATAATTTTCCAATGATTAGTTTATTTAACATTCATATACCACTTAATATGTGGATTAACCCCTATATAAATCCTATTTTCTGGAGAAACATAAACATTTAAGGGCCCAAACCTATTTAATTTTAATACTATGTCAGTGTATGATGCAGCTATGCATTAAAAAAAAAATTCTATTTTTTTATAATTATTCTTGAAATATGTGGGTTAACCCCTACGAAAAAACTGAATTTTCCAATAAATACTATTTATCATCTTCCGTGTTGTTTTAAAATACAAAAACACACTCCAAATTCATAAATATATTTTCTAAACTTATATTCATGGTACATGGACAAAATTTACAATTTTCCAATGTTTTATTTATTTAACATTCATATATCACTTAATATGTGGATTAACCCCTATAAAAATCCATTTTTTTGGAGAAACATAAACATTTGAGGGCCCAAACCTATTTAATTTTCATACTATTTCGGTGTATGATGCAGCTATGCATTAAAATAAAAATTCTTTATTTTATAATTTTTCTTCAAAATATGTGGGTTAACCCCTACGAAAAAAACTGAATTTTCCAATAAATACTATATATCATCTTCGGTGTTGTTTGAAAATACAAAAACACACTCTAAATTCATAAATATATTTTCTAAACTTATATTCATGGTACATGGACAGAATTTACAATTTTCCAATGATTAATTTATTTAACATTCATATACCACTTAATATTTGGATTAACCCCTATAAAAATCCATTTTTTTTGGAGAAACATAAACATTTAAGGTCCCAAACCTATTTCATTTTCATATTATGTCGGTGTATGATGCAGCTATGCATTAAAACAAAAATTCTATTTTTTATAATTTTTCTTGATATGTGTGGGTTACCCCTACGAAAAAACTGAATTTTCTTGTAAATACTATTTACCATCTTCCGTGTTGTTTGAAAATACAAAAACACACTCCAAATTCATAAATATATTTTCTAAACTTATATTCATGGTACATGGGTAGAATTTATAATTTTCCAATGATTAATTTATTTAACATTCATATATCACTTAATATGCGGATTAACCCATATAAAAATGCTATTTTCTGGAGAAACGTAAACATTTAAGGTCCTAAACCTATTTAATTTTAATACTATATCGGTGTATGATGCAGCTATGCATTAAAAAAATTCTATTTTTTATAATTAATTTTGAAATATGTGGGTTAACCACTACAAAAAAACTGAAATTTCCAATAAATACTATTTAACATCTTCCGTGTTGTTTAAAAATACAAAAACACACTCCAAATTCATAAAAATATTTTTTAAACTTATATTCATGGTACATGGGCAGAATTTATAATTTTCTAATGATTAATTTATTTAACATTCATATACCACTTAATATGTGGATTAACCCCTATAAAAATCCTATTTTCTGGAGAAACAGAAACATTTAAGGGCCCAAACCTATTTAATTTTCATACTATTTCGGTGTATGATGCAGCTATGCATTAAAACAAAAATTCTTTATTTTATAATTTTTCTTGAAGTATGTGGGTTAACCCCTACGAAAAAACTGAATTTTCCAATAAATACTATTTATCATCTTCCGTGTTGTTTGAAAATACAAAAACACACTCCAAATTCATAAATATATTTTCTAAACTTATATTCATGGTACATGGGCAGAATTTATAATTTTCCAATGATTAATTTATTTAAAATTCATATACCACTTAATATGTGGATTAACCCCTAAAAAAATCCATTTTTTTGGAGAAACATAAACATTTAAGGGCCCAAACCTATTTAATTTTCATACTATGTCGGTGTATGATGCAGCTATGCATTAAAACAAAAATTCTATTTTTTATAATTTTTCTTGAAATATGTGGGTTAATAACCCCTACGAAAAAATTGAATTTTCTAATAAATACTATTTAGCATCTTCCGTGTTGTTTAAAAATACAAAAAC